GAGGTACTCAGCTCCACCAGCATGGATATGGACCTAGAGCCTCAAGGTCATGTAATCATAGATGAGGCAAGACACCCAGGGGAACATATGACAACTAATTTTTCTAATATTAGATTTCAATCAAGATGTAATGCATAAATCAGTAAACAATGCAACAGTGCACTGTAAACTGAATTAGAGCATTATGAGTATTAATAAGACCAATTTTATGGAAGCAAGACCTTCCTCACAGCCAATACGAAACTGAAAACCAGTTTCAGAGGTGAGTGGCCTCAGCAGGCATGAGGGCTGACCTAGAGTATCACCCACAACGGCACATCACCACACCGATGTAGTGCCACCAGCAATCGCTGTGAAAAACTGAGCAAATAACTGGTACATTTTACCATCATTCCAGAATACACAGGGACATGGAGTAGTTTAGAGTTAATACCCCTAAAATGAAAATGAAATTGAGCTTCATTTGCCATTTGTACAGGCTCAGGTACATTGGAATGTGTTTTCACATATGCCGTCATGTCTTTGTTATGCATGTGTGTATGTTTCTCTCATAAGTCAGGTGGGGACAGAGGGCAGGGCCAGCCGTCCAGGCCTAGTACTCTGCTAGGGACCTGAACTGGAAACCTTCTTATCACAGGGAGAGCAGCTTAACCCACTGACCTGCACACTACCCCTGTCTTAGGTCTTCTGATGAGGCTGGTCTTCAACTGTCCAGTTCATTTCATACCCCGACATAATTGCTAACATGCTACCAGCTGTACTCGTCCTTCTCTCTGCTGAAAAGTTTCAGGAACATGTCCCAAAGCATGCATGTGGAGCCTCAGCAATGCAAAAGAGATTTGGTAAAAACCCAAGTTTAAAGGGGTTACTGCAGCTTTCCTGGGGGCTCAACAGAGAAACGTTAAAAGATATGGAAGGCTGGACAGGATCTTAAAACAGTCTGATCCAATGCTACGCATCTACAATTAATTTTTCAACAGGAAAATATAAGTGAAATTCAGACTAGGATAGTGTCTGAAGTACAACAGAGTGTACTGGCCAGCATCAGGCAGATAGCAGGACACCAAAGATACAGGGGACTCATGTTTAAATACAAACATCTGCTCTTCCCAAATTAGCCTGGAAACCATTTTCCTACATGCATGTAAAAAGGAAAAAAAAAAAGTAAACACTGACCAGAAATTTAGAGTAAATAAAGTTTTCCAGAAGACAACATTGTGTGTTGGTCATACTGGTACTTTCATACAGCGCCGACATCTTGTGCTTGACCGTTCTGGGAGTAGGAAGCCTTACGATACACACTGTAGTTAATCACAAGGTGCCTTTCAGGTGAGGAACCAAAAATGGATGAGCTATAATGAAACTACAACAGCTAACTTTCTGGACAAGCTAACTTCTCAATTCACAGTGCATGTATCACAGTTCTCTAAAAAAAAAGAAGCACTTGACCTTCCTATGAACAGCATGACAGGAATTAAAGGCATGAAAGGCATTAAATATATATTCTGGTCTTGAACCAGAACCATGAAGCCATCCTAGTCTCTGTGCTCCTGTATCTGAGCTTGTGGTCCCACATAGAGGACTGTACTGGTGAGCTGACCTCACTGTGCTCGCCTTCAACAATTACACCTTACCTGGGGGCAAACTGAACGGCAACCTAAAATCCAATCCTCATAATACAGGGCCCCCCATCTGAAGACACTGGTCTCGATCGGGGCAAACCCAGGCAGGCTGACTTACTGTTGGACACATTCCAGGTTTATTTTAAGGTCCCCAAAAAAGTCTGGTGAAGCAGAAGACAATTTCCCTGACTCCCTTTTCATGTGTAATAATATCAGGCAAATTATTGTTGTTTGCTCTACACAAGTTACGGACAGCATGTCACAGCTAAACGCTTCTGCACACACATTACCTCGGCAGACATGTTTGGACACACCTAAAGGTGTATGAAGCACATGGATATACTTCTATGAAAATGGCCTGCCCCAGCTTAAAGCTGCCAGCACATTTATCGCAGTCTGTTCGTCAATTATTTCAGATTTAATTATGCTGAAACAGCAATCATTCTTGGGCTACAGACCCTAAAACACCTACCACACCACTGCTATAGTTAGAAAATAACCTGAGCACCCACTTAAGTATTTTACTGATCAAAATACTAAAAATTCTTTCCCTCAGAAAAACTTGCTGTCAAACAGAAGCGTTTGCCTTCCTGCCGTTTTGTCCGTAAAGCCCTGCAGGTCATGCGGGAATCATTCCGCCCACCCAATGTTTTCTTAAGAAATTAAGCTGTGCTTCAAAACCCTGTGCAATAGCTCTGATTCAGCAAAACAAAAAAAGCTCAGCACTATCTGACAAGATGCCCCGAACCAATTATTTGAATATGTTATTAAGCTATAAGTAAAACACAGTCATTGGAATACCGGCTCACGTTGGTCATAACAGTAGTCAGGCGACAGGTACACTGAATGGCTGATCTGCCCCCTGAAAGTGTAGTATCACATTTAATGAGTGATATTGTGCTGTGCATTATGCCCCAACCTCTAAACCAAGCTAGTGACCTGGAACTGAGTTATCAGTCAAACATCTCTAGCTCAAAAGAGACTGCAACAAATAGTTATTTTATTAGTTAAAACATAAAATAATGCCATGTGGTATACATAGTTTTGTATCGTTACTGTGACACATATTAGACCGCGATCATTTAACGCTGCAGCAGAACTCGACCACGTTTAAGGAGAATGAAGATCAATCATCGCCGGTATTAGACTATTTACCGATTATATGCTGCAAATAGACACGAACAAAAGGACTTCTATCGGAGTTTAAGTCTCACCACACATGCCTCTTATCTGCATGTAAAATGATCAAAAGTGGGTGTAAACATGGTTTTACGGATTTGCCACAAGTACTCAACCAAAGCTAATACACGACACGTCAGCTAATGAAAAATCGAAATAGTGCTACATTAGTGAGCTGCACGTTATAAGCAGCTGGTAACTTGTTTTCTTTAGCAATGGGCCAGTTCGGTGCACTTAGTGAAGCCTTTGCCTCTCAAGCGCAACAAAATAAAGACGCGGATACGAGCCCTTTATCTCTGCTAATCAAAGCAGGCGCATTATATTTATATATCACCCAATGCACAGTGCTCTTTGCATAATGCCAATCAACTTCCAGCACTGCTATACATGTGCTACAATGGGTATGCTACTTATTTCACCAATCCTCCCATTTCCTTTTGCAAATTAGTTATTTGCGCTTGTTAAAATAATAAAAAAGTGCATTGATACGGAACGCCGGATGCCCTACAAACTTCAAAAGCTCAACACATTAATAATTTGTTACGCTAGGCCCTCCATCACCGGGCTTTATTCGGCAACCACACGGCCCTCCGCTCTCCTCTCTTCCATCCCTCACCTCGGCTTAATGCCCGCGGTGCCCCGATCGTAGGCCCAAGCTGCGGGCTGTGCTGTTGGAGCTGCCGGCTCTGCGAAGCTGGAAACCGGGTAATTCCTGTCCATCATCCGGCAGAGATGTGGAGGGATGCGCTTCCCCGATCGCCCTTCCCGAAGCAGGCACACATACGATCGCTCCGGCGGCCAGGAGCGATCACATTCTCGGAGGATAAACCGGGAAATACGCGCCGGCTGTCCGGCAAGCTTGGGGGATCTGCAAGGTTCCTCCTAATATCAGATTATTCTATGATTATTATTATTACTGTCTCTCAGTCAGTCATGGTGTCGGTGCTGCATGGTGCGGCTTGGATCAGATCCCCATGTTGCTTTATTTCCCAGGATGCACCTCCTACACATTGAGTTGGAAGTTTCTTAAATTATGTCACTGAATATAAACAGGTAAATCACTGAATTGTGTGCGTTTCGGGGGTTAAGAAGTACAAATTGGGAAAAAAACAGATAGGTAAATCATGAAAATGTGTGCGTGGATTAAGGATTTTAAACAGGATAACAACCAAACAGGTAAATCATGGAAATGTGTGCGGGGGTAAAGGAGTACAAACAGGACAATGCGCATGGGATTTAGTAACGTTTCACATGTACAAGAACTTACGGTATGCCAAATCATACCTCCTGAAAACGATTTAATTAGCGATCGGTAATTAACGTAAGCAATCGAATCTTGACACAGATCCATATACACTTTAAACAAAAACTCTCATCTTTAGATTAAACCTTGTTAATATATAGTATTAATTTAATAATAGCTGCAATATATACGTGATACAGCTCATCTATGCTCAGCTGATGCCATCGGGTATGCGGTACGGTGAACTGATCAATTTACGTTTTGTTTAAAACGTGTGGAGTTCTTAAACATCTGTGACATTGCGGCTTTTATTTTGCTTTGTCCAAGTATAAAAATATATACTATGTAATTATCTAAAGGTACTGAAATATTGTATACAATTGTGTCAATTTAGACAGCAAAACAGTCACATCCAGTTTAAGGGCTATATATCTTACTTTACTCTTATTAATTATTCGGTACTCTGGCTTTTTACTGCAGTCCAAAAACGGCCATATGGTGAAGTTGCATCTCTAAATTGCATCTCAGAGTGTGTTGGTACATGTGTGCACCCTGTGATGGACTGGCATCCCATCCAGGGTTTACCCGTGTGTTGTGCCCTGTGCTGTGAGGGATAGTCTTCATGTCCTCATACCTGTGAAGTAGTTATTTTCAAAGATGTGGTGACAGTTACCATTCATCCACCCATCTATCCACCCATCTGCCCATCTTCCAAGCACTTATGCAGTACAGGGTAACATGATGAAGACAACACATTCTGGTCAAATTCTGTAGCTTTCTGTTTGTGCTCAATGAGATTCAAATATAGTAGAATTAAATAATCCTCAAATAAACCTTTAGTACATCATTTGTTAGTCTCCATATTATTGTGAATTAATATGGATTATTCAAAAACATAAGCTAGAATAAAATCAACTGAATTATTTTCATCATATCAAGACAAAAAAAATTCATACTGATTTAATAACATTCTGTTTATTAAAAATTCTCTATAAAGGTCTACTACTAATTCTTTAGAACAAAACCAACTTTTAGATAAACCAGAAATTGTCATCCTCATTAGGAGGGCAAATATGATTTAATAATTTACACATCAAGTTATGTTCCACTACAATGGACTATAGAATAGATAAACCATTTGTTACAATCAGCCAACCTCTCTTCCTCAAAGCATAAGCAGAATTAACAAAAATGATGCTGAGCTTTGAATCCTATGCACTGTACATTTCCGATTCTACAGTAAGGAAACCTAACACCTGCAAAACCCTGAGCATTTCACACGGCACTATAACATTAATAAATTCATTTAAAATACCCTTCATCAAGCAGTAAAGCCTTGTACAATCCTTGTATTTAAAATGGTACACAGAACATCTACTGCCATGTTAGAAATGTTGGGTGTGGGGGGGGGGGGGGTTCTTCATACTTAGTTTGAATCAGAGACCCTAAGGTGAGTAGTAGTGTTTTATAAGAGCCGTGAAAGAAAAAGAAAAGAAAAAAAAAAGAAATAAAAAGGAACTGCCAGAAACATTTTATAGAAAGAGCCTGATCAGCATCTTAAACATGCTTCCCATTCACCTCATGGAATATTCATTGATGTATCAAAGTTTTAGCAAATGTATATATTGAAGCATTTTTTTAAAAACTGCACATATTTACACTCATTAATATAAAAAGAGACAAAACTGAAATCCTCCAAAATGTCGCTCCGAATCACATCATAGGCTTCATTCTGAAAGACTCCCTGGTCGGGACCTAGAACCAAACCATGAGAACCGTCAGTGAATTCACTCAAAGCGACCATGGTAGCCAGGTCTGCTAGCATAATCCTGACTCATCCTTTCATGTTTTCCATGTATTACATATATATCATCAAAAGTCAAAATAATATACAGCTGGCCCGCTACTACAGTAATGATCTTGGCATCTCCCCTATATAAAATTCACTTCTGATGCCGCAAGAAGACACAGGTGTCGTTTTTTACGGGAAGCATGCCGTTATATACAGTTTGCTCTGTTCCTACCCTGGGTATGGTGGCGGAGCGGCATCGTGAGGCCCGCACGTTGCCAGGGCTTGCTCGTAGGAGGGGAGCCCGGGGGGGTGCATTTCCTCTGAATGTGGACCTACAGGCTGCAGGGAGATCTCTTCCAGCCTCGTAACCATTAGGGAACCATTGTTCCGCTGCAGAGAGACCCTGGGGGAACTGTGTCCCCCACGTAATGGCCATCAGAGCTTCATCATCACATTCTCTTCATTCTGAGTGTTAAGCTTACAATGGCATCATACAAATGAGCAGTTCCAACATTAACACTTCAATCCCGAAAGCACATAGTACAATACTTACCGAGGGAAGGCGTTTTTGTACTGCAGCTGGCAGAGGTACCAGATCAGCAGACCAATGAGGAAAATGGAAACCCCAGTCACTACGATGCCAACCAAAAGAGCAGTCACATCTATCCTTGATGGATGAGACTCCTTGTGTCCTGGATCAGATGAAGTACTTCAGTATTTTTATACAATTTATGTGTAGCCAGAATCTACTAAACCACTTGTTTCAGAAGCGTCATAACAAACATTAACTATATCTTTGCCGACAAAAATACATCTATCCAACCAATCATCTAAGCTAAACGTAAAGTCCACCCGTTAACTTGTCCCTTGGCGACCATGTGACATCAGCAGTAACTTTCTATCATGGCTCCAGTGTGAATGCAAAACCATAACAGATTACCATGTCCGAGAAGGGCGGAGGGGACTTCTCCCCTTTATTCACTATATTGATATTAGTTGGGAGTAAATAATACCCGATATTTTACCATTATGGAAGACTGAGTGGGAATGAAAATTTCTCTGTACTCTGTAGTTTTTACCTGATACATTAACGGGTTTTGTATGTGAAAGGGGATCACAGACTGGGAGAGACATGCTTCCCACAACAAACCCACTAAGTTTGACTGAGTCACATACAGAGTTAGGTTGTGTGCAGTGCAGTTCTTATGTTGCTGAATGAAGCACTGGAGATGGGCAAACTGTTGAGGATTTAATTTACCAACCGCTAAAAAAACAACAACCGTTGCTGAAAAATGACTAGCCTATATTAATTGTTAATTCATATAACTTAAGTTTTTATCTCCATAGACAACTATATGCTATCACTAAAAATGATAAAAAAAAAAAAAAAACGTAAGTACAACAATGGTCTAGTGCAGGGCTCTTCAAATCTGGCCCTCGATTCCAAATCCAGGCCTTGTTTTCAGTTCTCCCAGGTAGTTAGTTTAATAATTACTGATTCTGATTGGTCAGAGGCTTCACACCTGACTGACAGGTAAAGGAAGGCTGGAAAACCAGCAGTGCTCGGACCTCGAGGACCGTGATTTCAATAATATGGGTCTAGTGTCTGCATTTTTGTCAGTAGTAACAATGCCGTACCTGGAAAGAATGGATTGGGTAGACTGTACAGATTGGGTAGCAACAAATATTTAACAAACGTTGCCGCTAAGGGATTACTTTGGTCTACATCAGAAGTGCAGTGCTTGCTGGAAATTTTAGCTGACAAGAGTAGGAACAACTGGACACAGAACATAAAAACTCCGAGATACTTGGTAAAATATCTTCTTAAACATGCAACAGGATTAAATGAAAACCGCTGCACTGCATACTCAATATATCTAAGAGGGCCAAAACTACTTCAAATAAACCACAAAATAAGGACATTAATCATGAACTCCATTGTACTGTGTGATGGCGCTTTTCTTTCTGCGTTTTCTTCAACACAAAAAGTGTTGAATTTGCTAAAACCAAAGCCTACATTTTTAATCCTCACAAATCCACTTGAGTGGTTGTCTGGGTGAGCGCGAGCTATTAATGTATCATAAGGTTGTTTGGTTGCGTTGTGTGTGGTGGCCTCAGTATAAAGGTAGCTAACTTAGTTTTTCTAGCTTTTACCAAACAAAATGAATATCCAAAAATTGATTTAAAAAAAAAAACCCACGACAGAGGGACCCGGGGACTAGCATATCAACCAGCACTGACCATCCAACTGCTCAGGTCAACACAGAACGCAAGCCAGAAAAAATGACTTTGGGAGAGCTTAACCCGGTTGTTGCTTAAAACACTAATTTGCTTTATGTCAGTAAACATTGTTGGCTCTGTTGAAATGTCTGTTGAAAATCAGAGTATCGTTATCGAGATGATGTGGATGGTATGCATTTCATGGAGATTGTTGATCTGTAAGAGTATGTGTTTTGTAATGATGCACTTGTTAAATAATAAAGCTGTGTGCACAGCTGTCACCGCCCCCTTTCTGCATTTTCCGCTTGCGTCGGTTCCGCTCTCACGCGTCTGAAAACATCCTGACATAGGGGTTTGAGGTTATTTGTTGACTTCACTTTGGCATTAATTACCATAATTCCACACAAACTGGGCAGCAAGCTCAGCAGACTGGGGCTGGGAAACTCATTATGCACCTGGACTAAGGACTTCCAATCAGACAGATCTCAGAATGGACTTATGCCCTATGTTGTCTGTGAACGTATGCATCAATACTGCCAAAATAAACTCCTAGTACATACAGTTGTACCTGGCCAATAAAGTGAATTGTGATTCTGATAGGAAAACTCACTTCTTCCACACTAATCCTGAACACAGGAACACCACAGGGCTGTGTACTAAGCCCAATCCTTTTCATTCTCTTCATTAGTAACTGCACTCTGATAATCCCAACCAGCACCATAGTCAAATTTATGGGCTACACCGCCATAATTGGGCCGATGTCCAGCAACAGAGAGACAGCTGACAGGGAGGAGGTACAACATTTAGCAAAGTAGTTCCTAGTGAACATCCTGGCTGTGAACACCACCAAAACCAAGGAGATAATGCTGCGTTCCATTTACCTCGGATGTTGGACCTCGGAACTGGGAATGACGTCACACATGACCCCTTAAATGGGGTTTATCTTCGTTCACTTACATTTAGCTTGGACTACTTTAAATCTGACAATCACACTAAGCATCAAATCCAGTTCTAGCCCACTTGTGTTAGTGTTAGCCATTGTTAGCAATATCAATTGATGATAACACATTACATGGTGTTTTGCGCATAAAACTCTGTAGCAACACGCCCAGACAGTATTGTGTGTACGCCTGATTTAAGGAACCACAGATAAGATGCAAGTGCTAATAAACAGTATAAAACTACAACTTTCACTTCCGTTGATAAAGGGTGCAGCCATCTTGGATTCTGAGCTTGGGGATATGTCTATTCCTTGGACTTCATGAGTCGGAATTCTGACTTCAGGCGGAGTTCCAGTTGAAATTCTCGGAATTTCTGAGTTACGAGTTCAAATCGAACGCAGCATAACTGTATACTTTAGGAAAATTTAGCAGGCCCGCCACCTTCCATGGAGAAAGGGTCAAAAGCATGGAAAGATCTAACACCTCAACCCTTGCTAAAAAAAAAAAAAAACTCAACAAAGCCTGTTTTTCCTCAAAAATTGGAAAAATTCTCATCTGCCCTCTCATCTGCTGATAGGGCTGTGTACTTGCACAGATGCCCGATTCGATTCTGATTCACAAGCTAAAGATTCGATATCAGTTAAATAGTAATGAGACATGAAACACTATATAGCAGCTTTCCATATTTGGAGAGATGTTAAAAAAGCTCTAAATAGATCACAAATTTACAAATGCAGAGTCACTGGAAACAAATTGTGAAAGCCACTAAAGAAATTCCAAAGGCTTCTATACCAAAATCTTTTTATATGGGTATAGTTCCTTAAAAACAAAACCAACCAGTCTCTTTCAAAGCACAAAAAGATTAAAAAGAACAGCTGAAAATAAAAATGGGCAGGTCTAAAATGTTAACATGCTACATTTCAGAAGGACCTCAACTTAAAGATGCGTGCCAAAACATAAATCAGTAATTTTTTTGCATGAGGAGAAGGCCTTTTTGAGCGAAATGCAGCCACAATTCAGATCGTTTACCTTTAGGCATTTAACCGTGTTTATGGTAGCTATTAGCTAATGTTAGAATTCTGCTGACATCAGGGCAAGTGTAATGTTAACAAGCGATGGCACATCATGTGCAGTGATACTTCTGTTGTCTGAACACCACAGGGAAAAAATTTCAATCAACAGCTTGGCATCTAAGTGGCACCAAAACCGACGTTGCAATATGGTCCGGTGCAACCCTATGTTTAACCATTGCTGAAATTAACTTAGAAAACCAGAAAAAAATGCCTATTAGCCTAAAAGATCCATCCATTAATTTTACAGAACAATATAGAATCTGATACATTTCTAAAAACGATGAAAAAACAATATTTTTGCACACCCTTACTAGTCCACTATGGGAAGCATACTTCATCACTGTCTGGTACTCTAGCTACACAACCAGGGATCTGAGGGACCTACAACAAGTTCTGAAAGCAGCATAGCAGGTCATCGGATCAGAACTGCCAGAACTGGACAGTATCATCATGGACAAAAACCCACCCTGTACACAGTCTGTGTTGGTCTGCCTTCTAGCAACCGATTCACAGTAATCAAAGCAAGCACAAAGAATGAAACACAGCTTCTTCCCTAAAGCTGTGTCCTCCATCCAACCACCCCATCCAGCCAAAGACAATTACCGCTCTGTCAGTGTCCCAAAGAATGCAATTCTAGAAAAGCCAAATAAAGAGGTAGCATTTACACCTGTTTGCATTGTATTCCACAAGTATTACCTTCGATGTATCCTTTCCAGAAGACATCCTGGAAAAGATTAAAACATTAAAGGATTTTACTCTTCGCGACATCCAAATACCCTGAGCGATCTTTGATCGGAGCGGCCCCTACTGTGTCTGGGTAATTCTCAAAGACTTCCCGGGCCTCCTCATAGTTGCAGATCTCCTCGAAGCATTCCCTCTCCAGGTTCCCCGGCGTGAAGGCCTCCAGGTCGAATCGATTGAACAGCAGATGCCGCCTTAGCACGTTGTGTGCCCCAGCCTCCTCCAAGAACACTACAAGCCAATAGCTAAATGATTAGTTTATTCCGATTCAAATCAGATTTTTTACTGAAATTCCTTAAATATATGTAACCAGCGTAATATGGCCCAATCATTCTCTCACACACAAATCAAAAGGCATTCATTGCAAATACTGTGATTTAAACCTCAAGAATGACTACCCTAAGTGTCATACAACGTGTTATTTCCGCTTATTTAACCCGCAAACTAACATGCGCTAGCGAATTTTAAAAATCACAATAAGAACGAGGGTTTCAAAATCCATCGTTTGCAACATAACTTTACATTTGAAATTTAGAAAGTACCAGCTACAGAAACTAAATCAGTTATTACAGTGTTCATTGAAATAACTCACCATTATCTGACCTTTCCACTGAGTTTCTGATTTGAGAGAAATGTCTTGAACATGCCGTTTGTCCAGATGGAAGAATTTGACACAATAGAAATAAATATAATAGCATTTCTATCCACCTGCGAAGGATTAAAAATCTTAAACTGTATGTAACCGAAGAGTAATCATTTGTTGTTTTTCAGGTATTTAGACATCAGTATCTTATCAGCGTACAAAGTATCTAAAGCACTTCGGTAGTTACGCAGCTACCGCCCTCTTCGGAAAACGTAGGTAAAAGGCAAAGTAGGCGGTATCGAAACAAGTAAGTTAAGTCCATTTAAAAAAGCTATATTTACACAAGAAAAGATACATTTAAAGATGAAAGACGCGAAAATACCAAGTAGCCTATAATGATCGCAAATAAACAGATTGTTTACCTCCAACTCCGGTGACCTCACCACCTCGGAGCAAGTATTTGTTCAGACCTGACTAATTGAGGTTCCACCTGGATAAACGGATTGCGACATACAATTGATCTTCCAACAAAACATTGATTTAGGGCATCTTTGTTATTCCTGCAAAACTGAAATAACTGGAGAGAAATTAATAAAGGTAATACGCGTGAAAGTGTGCGACATTTAATTGAATAAAAAAAATAACCTGTCAGTGAAATATGCAAACCTATAGGCTATGTAGCCTACGCATTGAACGTGAGTCGGCTAGAGATGTCAGTCTGAAACTGGGTGTAATTGTTCTTGCACGTCCGTTTCGCACTTAAAAACACAGTACTTTTTATGAGAACAAGTCTCCATAATTTCCGTTTACCTGGAGAAAAAATACAATATTGCTCATTTTAATCATTTATGTAAAAGAGGATGGCTGGACATTACGCAGTACAATGGGACTGTTGCCTGACACCCCTGGAGAACACGGTTCAAGCCTCCGCCCTGCCTCTACATGTGTGGAGATTGCACGTTCTCCTCGTTTCGTCGTGGGGTTTCCTCCGGGTTCTCCGGTTTCCTGTCGCAGTCCAAAACATGCTAAGATGGACTGTGGCCTGTACTACGAAGCGGGGTTACTGGCTTATCGGGGTAACTTGTCGGATTTAAGGTAGTCTGGGTAAAATGTAAGTGAGCGAATATGAAGTCCATTTAAACTGTGGTACCTTAAATCCAACAAGTTACCCCGATAAGCCAGTAACCCCGCTTCGTAGTGCAGGCCACTGGAGTTGCCTGGGTTATTCCCTGCTTTCCGTTCCGCCCATTGCTTCCGGGATAGGCTCCGGACTCCCGCGACCTCGCACGCAGGACAAGCGGGTGCCATAATTAACTTGATAATGTGTGGATATTACGTAGGCTATTAAAACGTATATTCTCAAATTAAATTAATTAAATATATTGTATACATAGCAGTGCGTTTTTGTATATGTCTTGTCAGAAACCTGAAACCAACTGCAACAATTCTAAGTAATATAATACAGATATCCAAAAATGCTTGTTTTCTGCGTTTAATGCAGGTTTTCATATTTATTAAAACTGCTGTAAGTCTGTTTTGTTTAAAACCTCGGCAGGACTTGACTAGGATTAAAAATCGGGACTGGACTTTTGGGGTCCCTTGACGACTTTTGCCGAGCAATAAATGTCGGCAGCCCACTGGGAAAATGCCCGGTAGGCCTGACAACCAGTCCCGCCCTGCTCGTCAGCTAAAGCGATCTAAGATAAAATATATTTTCACCAAAGTGCTTCTCAATAGCCTACCTTTTTCTAACACAAGATGGCAACATTTAGCTTTTTTTTCGCCTCCTCCTTTAACTATTTTGTTGTAGGATGTGCGTTTACATCAGAAAATTATAAATGTGTTTGTTATTTATGGGGGGAAAGGAAAGCTTTAATCACTTTAGGGAGTAATGGTTGTTATCACATGCAGAAACAGTGCTTTTGAGACCGTACATCATTTAAAAACGAAGATTCGTTAAACTTCAAGTCACCATCTACCAGGCAGAAACCCTGAAATACCAGCCGCACGGCGGCGTACACGGAAAATAATCGACGGTGAATTTAGGCTATATAACAATTATAACAGTAGGTTTAATGTTACAAAGTTGTAGGTGGTTTCTTTAATATAATATTATCGGTCTCGTATTTTACCAACGCTTGTAACTTGTTACCCTGCAAAAGAACTGTAAATAACCTTTTGACGTATTACTCTATGATTAAACCCGCCAAAAGTGTTCTCGCGCTAAAATCGCTGTGTTGCTTGACATTTGAAGGTAACGTTTCTTTGACAAGGTAAATAAACCTAGTGAAACTTATTGAAATTATACATTGCATTTCGGAAGTATTTTAAGACAACGTTGCTGGATTACTTGTAACATAATTGTGAAGCGAAGGCAGTGGTAATAAAGCTTGTTAATGTAACTCAAAATGTGTGAAAATGTGTAGGTTGGACAACTCTTAGGCCTAAATATACCCTATCTGTGGTATATTTGTTTCAGTTAACCACCGTTGGTGAGTTATAATGGCTATCTATTGATAAAACCGTTAAATCATGCTACTCATGAAACGAAATACAAGTACATATAATGATAAAGTCATTAAATTGTTCATTTGTGGCTGTGTATGAAACAGTTTATGGCCACGGTTACTTGATAAGCTAATGAATGCGGTATTAGCATATTAGAGAGTTGAAGCTGGCCAAAATGTGCGCTTCATTTTACGAGCATTAGCACACATATTTGTGGTTATTATATATCGTTTTTAAGTAGAGTGTCTGGTTCGTTATTGGTGGTCCAGAGACGCGCCACATAAGCTGTGCGGCATTGCTTGACCACCCGCTAGGCTAGTTAATGGTGCTTCTTTCTGTATCTAGGCTAATTCAACTGTTTAATCTAATGACTACTGTATAGCTGGTTAAGTGTTTGAGATTGCATTAGAAAACGCCATTGCTGAAAACGCTGCCAGTTTTCTTATTTCAACTTTTATTTCTTTAGCATTAGAAATATGACATTGATGTACATGTTGGTTTATCGTCTGTTTAAAATCTTGTATCTGTGCCTCATACTACTTTTTTTATCAAATGATAATATCTACAAGAAACACAGTGTTTTACAGTATCAGCTGGTATTGATAATTTTATGGTTATTTCTTTGAAATAATAACATTTAATATTTTAGAGGTCTAAATAAATTCTACATAACAATTAGCCGTGTTATCCATATTATTCTTACTGCCTAGTAGAATGTTTTCAAAAACGTTACTTATGAACTATATATATATATATATATATATATATATATATATAGTTTGTTTATCGTTTTTTATTACAATTAGCTTTCATGACAGATGGAATTTAAAATGTGCTTGAATACTTTTTGTTATTACGCATAGGACCTTGGATATGCCTGTCTTTTACCCTATTATAATGCAGTGCGATATAGTCATATAACTCAGAAAAGATAATACAGACATCATGTTGCTGATAGGAATTATTCAGCTTTATGGATGATGTCCTTTTAATTTTGCTGTTCATGGCTTATAAAATTGTTTAATATCTGCTGAAGTGAATCAGTGGAGAAGCAAATAAAGACATTGGCCTCGGGTCACAATGTCATTTGTGGTAGTAGCAAATTCTAACAGGATCATTTATTCCTGCACATGATTGATAACGGCATGGGTTAAATGGAGAAAGGTTCTCTTCTATTAAAGGATCATCTTGAGTGAAGACCTCCCACTTAAAAGTCAGACATGATGAGGAGACAGGGGACTATCCATAGGTCAAATTAAATAACTTATATAATTTAAGAGAAATGACAGTGCAATTTGTTCATTCACTGTTATTACTCTGACCCCCATTAGATTCTTAGGCCGGCCTCCTTTCCACCTTGATAAACCAAAGATACAGCTTTCAAAGTAGTAAATAGTGAGAAGAACACACATGAAAAGACTTCCTATAAGTTGTTATTTAATTAAACTTTAGTCAGCATTAGCTCAATTTCATATGTTGTGCATAATCTTTATATAAGAATTGTGAGGATTTCTAGGTGAACATGATCCTCAAAAAACTCAAGATGAGGCATTTCATATTTTACTTTCAGTTAACTAACACTTTGCTGGTCAGTAATAATGAAAAACCACAATCTAAGTGTCAACTTAGTATTTCATATAATAATACTGTCCTGTGCTTGGGTTTAATCCTCAAAGGTTTCTCCAGCATTGTCTGAGGATGTCTCAAGAGAGTTGTATAATCAAACATGAGATGGACTTTCATGCAGAAACTGCCAAGCATGTTCCTGAAGACAAGGCAAGAATATGTTCATTTTTAAAATTAACATTATAGCAGTATTATTTATCCAAGTTAACATTTTGCTTATTCTTAGATTGGAGAGGAGGGTTTTGAATATCAGCTGTTGTTATCTTATGCCCCACATGAATTGGATCAGAGTGATTTGGCTGTTCAAGTTATACAATTTAAAGCCAGTCTTCTTGAAGCAATGGAAGAGCTACGTTTTCATAGGGTATGGATTTCAGCACCACAAACTCTGTTTAATTATATATTTAGTACTGTTATTTAGGTGCTGTTTAATGACATAATTTGAAGAGAATCTGAAGAGAAAGCATTAATATTTTAGAAGAAAATGTGTAAATATGGTCAAAAATGGTTTTCTATATTAAATAATGTCTTGCATTTTCACATTTTAAAAGTTTAATAATAGCAGGTAAGTGTTTTTCAATTTTTAAGAAGTGTTTTAAGTGGACAAAGAATGAATCCCACCTTTTAATGGCAAACAACATAATCTGAAAATACTTAAAAAATAAAGAGACAGGGAACCATTTGCTAATGTGTGTCTTTAGAAAGGACATCATTTTACCAGGTTTCACAGTGTAGTTTTCCATATTGTCATTCAGTAGTAGGAACTCGAGAGTTATGGGCTCAATTTGGGCAAGTCATGAGGAGCTGAGGGATGTCATATTGTGGGAGGTGTATTATGAGTTTTCGGATGAAGCTAAACCTACTTTTTTAGCAATCAGCTGTAGTCAGACATCACATCAGTATGTGGTCACAAACAAAGGAGTACCTATTTTTGCTTGTAAAATGGTACCCTGGAGCAAACACTTTAAAAGGCTCTGAACATGTTTTAAAGGTTATAACAAATAAATAAATGATTGAATCATTTCTCTTTTATTGTTATGGTCATCACAAAAAACCATGAACGATTAAATAACTATGATCCCGAGGCATGCATTAGAAAAGCACTTGACAGTTCATTGTATTGTTGATATAGAATTAAACAAGAAGTGTATGTCTAAGCTAAACTGAAGTATTTCTTAGCTACAGAGGGTGTTATTAAAATATTCCTCTACTTCGGATATAACATACTTCTGTACAAAAGAAGGTGATTCGCTATTTATTAACACAATGTGTGTGGAACAATGGGAACAAGGAATAAACAAATACTTCACTTGTACTAAAATGATTTGAAATGCAATATTTTTTGTATTTGGATAGCTCATGAGCTGTCGGCACTCTATGTACTTTTTATACTGTTATGTACCATTGATGTACATAGGTTCTGCTTAAATAAGTGTAAAGACACATTTGACTCAAATAAATTAAAAAATAAATAAATTACAAAATATGAAAAGTATTTATTTTTTGGGTAAGAAAAAACCAACTGACATACAGCAACAGTCCCAGTGCACTGTATTTTATAACTATATACATCTTGTATAACATTTCTAACAGAGAAGAGCTGATCATCAAGTGTAATAAACTTAGTAACTTTCTGAGTAATTGTCTGCACTGAATTTTCTTTTGCTATCAAACGCTTGCGTTACTGATGGACTACCTTTATTAGGCAGTACTGCAGCCTTTATAGGAACAGATTTTTTTTCAAGAACTATTCATACTCTTTATTGTCTCTCTTTAAGTTGAGCAATTGAATTTGTGTTGAAATGTTTATTATTTGACCCTCCTTGTGAAATTTTTGTGATGATTGCAAAATGCATTTCTAATGTTGTTTTCACTAACATTAAAATAGTTATACACAGCAGACATTTTTCTAACTGTTTAGTACGCAGGTATGCAAAGCATTATGGATCACCATTTTAAAGGGAATTATCGACGGTAAATATCGTTGGAGCCTTTGGCGGATTGCTGCTGTATCAGCCAATACCGATAGTTGGCAGATACAATTGGTGCATCTCCAATTGTTGGTTTTTGGCTTATTTATGTATTTTCACATAATATTTGGAATTGTATTTCACCATGGATTATATTCCACTAGATCAGGGTTTGTCACTAATATTTACAAGGATAACCAAGTTTAATGGTGTCTTTACAGGACAAAAAAAACATCTATTCATTATTTCACTCCAAACTGTTAACTGCTTTATCTAGTGTGCACTTCTTTAGCATTTTCCATGCTGGGAGCACACTTTAATGGGAACTTATAAATAAACCACACAAGCCCACTCCCACATACATATAAAAAGTCACTAGATAGTAGAAAGCAATTGACTTTTACCTACCTTTGAGAGTTGAAGGCGGATAAGGATGGCTATGTGCTAATATTACAGGTCTAATGTCCACTATTTCCTTGAATGAACAAAGTCATGGGCAAACATTACATTTTGGCTTCATGTCGTATGTGGATAATCTGAAAGATGTTGCTGAAAGCATCCAGAGTACCACACAAACTGTAGCACTTTTGTTTAAACCTTAAAATAATGTTAAAAATGCATAAACTAACATGTTCACAAATGATTTGAGCATAAGTGAAATATCTTAAGAATAATGAAGAAAAATGTTAAAATGTGTATATTTAGCATATTTTGTTTTTTGAAATATTTTTTAGCAAGCTGAAATGGATTTTGAAGAGCGAATCAGTCAACTTTTGTTGGAGAAGCAAGAACTGGAATGGCAAAAGGTATATGCATGTTATTGTAAAGACACATAGTTCTCTTTTTAGTTTTCAAAATGTATTTGTGTATTGTACTGTCAGTTATATCTCTTTCATTGAACTGCTGTATCTGATATTATGTAGAATAGGTCCTTGATAGCACCTTAAAGAAGAATTCACCCTGTACTTTTAATTATTTTGCATATGGCATTATTAGTCATTTGAGACCTTCTGCTTGCATTTCTTACCAATATCTTTACACCTTACCTCACCATTTAGTATGGGAAGATGGCCTGGTCTATGTACTTTTTTCTGAATTATTGACTTAATTGTGTTTTAAGAGACTTTCATTTGCTTTTGTATTGGTCCCATAATCTGTGGCTTTTTTACACCTCTAACATTTAGTGTGTGTTCTTTTTTTCAGGAATCCTTCCAACATCAAACTGACATGTTACTAAACCAAAATACTGAATCTGTAACTGCTCTTAAGAAGAAGGTGTTGTATTTGTCTTATATTATATTTGACCATCAACTACCGATTAAAGAAAATACAGTGGTAAATCAATAACTAAAGGTAGTTGGTATGCAAAAGTGATACTACTTGTTGGAACATGCTCCCTAATTATCATATCTGCCACTGTTAGGCAAGTCTAGATGTACCTTGCCAGCTCTGTCTGTTTTGTTCATTTGAGGCACAAGATATATCTTACTGCACTTAGAACCCCTACTGGTCAAAAGGCGTCAGCCACTCACAGATCAGTGGAGGAATATTAATATAATATACTGAAATATGTGTATTTAAGTATGTGTTTGTGTATCAAAGAAAGGTACATAAATGAGTGGGATGGTTTGCATGTGTGGTTGACAAACACCTTAGAGTCATCTTCCTATGAGGCATAATAAACTAGTGAAAATATTTTCTTTAGGTTACATTAAGTACATCCTGAGAATTTTAGAGGAGCTGACTGTTGAAGAGAAAGTAATTTGTTTAAGTTTTTGATTCTCTTTCATAGATGCAATAATGTTTTACTGACAAAATAAATTATAAAGATTTTACTTATAATCCTTACAAAAATCCTAACAAGCAGTTTCAGGCAAGAATCAAGGGGCTGGAAGAAGAGAAGGTATGGCTGAAATATTTAGTGTTCTCTGCTAATGAGCATACTCAGTAAAGAAGTCAAATATTACTTTGTAGAGGTTCAATAATGTTAGCTAACTGTCAGATTGAATAATGTGCTTGTATAGTGGCTCAAACACAAGAATTGAGAAAGGTATTGAAGATTGCTTTATATTACATTTTATATTACATTTTGTTGTTGAACTTTGACTTAATATCACTTTATTTCGAAGGGAAAATACCAGGTAACTGTTGAACTGAAGGACAAGGAGATCAGAACTCTTAAGGAAGAGCTTAAATTGTTGAAGGTAAAACCTTTGAAAAAAATAACAAGCTCCCTAAACAGCTGGGCTGAGTGCAATTGCCCTTCTTCATTAACTCTGATGACTGGGAAAAGTGCTCTCATTGGCAACCTTTATAGTGGAGGCTGCTCTCTTGGCTGTAGCATGGCACAGGATGGCTGCTGTACTCTGTCTCTTATGCTCCATTGCACATATGAGCCATACATAGTGCTGCACAATAAATTAATTATTTGGCTCTTTGATTTTTAGAATACCATAATTAAATTTTTGTATAATCAGTAGTATATAGTACAAATAAATGATTTGCTGTTGTATTCATATTATTGTGGCTGTTATATAGACATTAATTAAGGGTAAAAAAGTTCACATTTGATCAGATAATGCACAATAAATATTTTAAGGTTATAGAATTTCCAGATACACAGAAAAATATAAAATTGAAAAAGATAAAATCTTTTGCTACTGTTTTACAGTTGTCCAAGTGCAGTTTGCAGAAGACATTAAGTGAACTGGTAAGGATTTCAGTGATATGAATTGTGTGGGAGTGGGAGGAACACAAGAGGGAACGGCTCATCAGGAGTAACGGATAGGGAGTGTGTGACATTCTGTGAACCTCGGATGCAGCATAGAAGAAATCACTATCAAAATATTTTATAACTAAGGCCCGCTCTGCTGAACCTCTGTGGTGAAGGAAAAAACTGCCTGATACAGACAATCAAACAATAATGATAGATATTAATAATAAAAAACTTCTTAAGCATCTTGATAAAAGAAGTTGCTGGTTTAAATGTTAGACAAAGATTGTATAAGATAGAATAGCAGTGAGCTGTGTTGTCCCCTCTATATCTGTGGAGAATCGTCTCCAGTTTGTATTTCATTGTAAAATTAAATGTTATTTCAAGATTCAAGATATTTTATTCATTACATACAGTTATATAAGTACAAACTGCAGTGAATTGAAAATCTGGTTCCTCTTTATACTGTTCAAAAGAAATTTAAATTAATTTAAAATATAATGCAATAAAGGAACATATGAAGTGAAGGGGGGTGAACATGCACATAATATAAATACAGACGTACATAAAGACTGTATTGAAAATATACATTCAATAGTGCAAAGGAGACAGTAAAGCACAAGTGGCATAGTCTTAAACATGGGTGTGCAGATTGCAGTGGACATGGAATGTAGTAACTGATTAACAGTCAGCTGTGCAATGGCACTTTTCAACTGGCATACAGGAACCAAGCTATACCCAAACTACACTAGTTACAGCGAGGTTCCAGTTTGTGTCGATTTTCCCCTGCAGAAGGTTTAAGTTTGGTAAAAGCGTTGCCAGATTTGGATAGTGACAGTGATGTAAAACTGAAGAGAAGCTTGTTTACTGTTCACATCATGATTGCTATTTTCCTCTAGCATGTCTAGAATTGTCGTGTTATGTTAGCATCAAATGCTAGCAGAATTAGCATTAGCTTATATTCATTATGAATAATCTTTATTATGAATCCATTATCTTCTGTAGTACATTTTTAAGTAGGGGTTTGCAAATTTTTATTTTGCAAAATGTGGTACTACTAATAATGGATAACATAGAATATGCGCTTTTTTCCTTCAGATAATCCATGCATATCGACACAGTGATCTGTGTCGAAACTGTTTGTTTCGACCAGTCAGATGGTGGTAATGCAACGAGCATGGTTTAGTCATGCTTTTGGCTCTGCTAGTAAGCAGGGCCATGTCAGGATGGCTATGGGTTGGGTACGGCCAACATAATCTACAATGGAAAACCATCTCTGGAAAAGCACCACAACTACATTATATTGCCAAAAGTATTGGGACACCTCACCAAATCATTTAATATGGGTGTTCCAATCACTTCCATTGCCAAAGTTGTATAAAATCAAGCACCTAGGCATGCAGACTGCTTCTACAAACATTTGCAATGGAATGGGTCACTCTCAGGAGCTCAGTGAATTCAAGTGTGGTACTGTGATAGGATGGCACCAGTGCAAGTCCATTCGTGAAATTTCCTCACTACTGAGTATTCCACGGTCAACTGTTAGTGGTATTATAAAAAAGTAGAAGCAATTGGGAACAACAACAACTCAGCCACGAAGTGGTAGGCCATGTAAAATCACAAAGCGGGGACAACACATGCTGAGGCACACAGTGTGTAGAAGTCGCCACCTGTATAAAAATTCAATAGCTACAGACCTCCAAACTTCATGTGGCCTTCAGATTAGCTCAAGATAAGTGCATAGAGAACTTCATGGAATGGGTTTCCATGGCTGAGCAACTGCATCCAAGCCTTATTTCACCAAGTGCAATGCAAAGCGTTAGATGCAATGGTGTAAAGCATGCCACCACTGGACTATAAAGCAGTGGAGACGTATTCTCTGAAGTGACAAATTCCACTCCTCTGTCTGGCAATCTGATGGACAAGTCTGTGTTTGGCGGTTGCCAGGAGAACGGTACTTGCCTGACTGCATTGTGCCAAGTGTGATGTTTGGTGGAGGGGGGATTATGGTGTGGGGTTGTTTTTCAGGGATTGGGCTTGGCCCCTTAGTTCCAGTGAAAGGAACTCTTAATGCTGCAGCATTCAAAGCCATTTTGGACAATTTCATGGTCCCAACTGACTGCGCACCAATGTACAAAGCAAGGTCCATAAGGACATGGATGAACGAGTCTGGTGTGGAGGTACTTGACTGGCCTGCACAGAGCCCTGACCTTAACCCGATAGAACACCTTTTGGATGAATTAGAGTGGAGACCGCGAGCCAAGCCTTTTTGTCCAAAATCAGTGCCAGACCTCACAAATGCTTTCCTGAAAGAATGGTAAAAAATTCCTATAAACACACTCCTAAACTTTGTGGACAACCTTCTCAGAAGAGTTGAAGCTGTTCTAGCTGCAAAGGTTGGGCCAACTCCATATTAAAGCTTATGTACAGACGCTCCTCTACTTACGGTCGTTCGTAATTTGAAATGTTAGTAAGTCGTTATTCAACATAATTTTAAGGGTATACGCAAGTACTAAGAACTAGGATGCTGGGAGTACGCATGCTACGCTGCTGCGCAGTGGGAGTAGTGGCCAGAAGTCGTACTAGTACTAATTGGTGCGCAGAAAAAAAAAAATTGATGTTGCGGACAGGAAACGGGAGCCCAATGAACATGATTTGGACTTACAGTCCTCTTCGTTCGTATGTCTGAAAGTGCGTAAGTTGAAAGCTCGTAAGTAAAGGAGTGTCTGTATTAAGAATGCAATGTCATTAAAATTCATGTATGTTTAAAGGCAGGTGTCCCAATATTTTTGGCAATATAGTGTATCTTTAGGCATGTCCAAGCTGAGAAGCCAAATGGCCTTAGGATAGAGGCTCTTCTTGAGCCTCTCTGTTTTGGCCATCAGATAGCATAGACGTTTGCCAGGTTGCTGAACAGGCAGTTACTGGGATGGGTGGATTTGTTAAGAATTTTGGTGACTCTGGTCTTGCAGTAACTGATGTAGGTGTCTTACAGAGAGGGGAGAGCAGATTTGGAGGTGTGTGCCACTAGGCAGATCACTCTCTGCAGAGTTTTGCAGTCCTGAACAGTACAGTTACTATACCAGGATGCAATGTTCATGGACAGGATGTTTTCCATAGCACCAGTGTAGAAAGTTTTTAGGACTGCTAGGGAGACATTGAAGTTCCTCAGCTACCCCAGGTGGTATAGTCTCTGCTGTGCTTTTGAGATCTAGGCTTGGACATGCTGGGTCCATGACTGGTCCTCAGAGAGTGTATCACTGGTGCTGAGAGGGGTGTAGTTCCTTTGCTGTTTTCTGCTAAAGTCCACAATTAAGTCCTTATTTTTGTTGACATTGAGTGAGAGGCTGTTATTCTTGCACCAGGATGCCAGATTACTGACCTCAATGAGATAGGCCTTCTCATCATTGTTAGAGATGAGACCCATCACTACAGTGTCATCCACAAACTTAACAATATAGTTAATGCTGTATCTGGCTACACGGTTGTGAGTGTAGTGGGAACACAGCAGTAGACTCAGGACACACCCTTGTGGAGCAAGAAAGTTGAATGCATGTTAAATGTATTTGGCAGGAGCAGAAGTTGTACTTGCAAATGCAAACTAAAGACAGTCAGCTAAGGCAGCTAAAAGAGGTGGAGAGGCGCTTGGAAGTTGTGACTCATCAATGTGCCACAGTGAAAGAGGCCCACAGGAAACTTGAACAAAGCGGTAAACAATCTACTGCGACCAGGGGGACATACAACCTTTGGATACTCGATAACAAGCTTTGCTCCTTACCCTTCATGCGAACATTGCCTGGGATGCATGAAAAGTTACAGAATTTATGTTTCAGTGAAATGTGAACATTGACAGAGCATTCCACTATCAGGCAGTTGTTCTTGCTTGGCTTCTGTCCAATATTTGGTTACATTAATATTGTATTTATGTCAAGTGGAATTTTATAAACATGTGTATCTGTTATTTCTAAACCATAGTATCATTATTTATTTAAAGCAGCGATATCGTCACAGTTGTCTCAGTACAGATAGGGAACATTTTTTACATCTTGTAAAGCAGGTCTGGATACTATTGCACATTAATGTTTACTGTGTAGGTCTGACAGGGAGAATCAGTCTCATCTTTTACACGCCCAAGTGGATGGTCATGGCAAATGACATACCATAGAACTTTAATTTAAGGACTTGGGGTAAACTGTATATAATAATAATCATAATAATTCCCACTAACAATATGATTAAGTGAAGGAAGTATTAGAACATATATGACTATTGTATAAAACAGTTGAGAACAATTTGTATATTAAGTATGTATGTGTGTGTTTACAGTTGGAGAAACTGTGAAGCTTAATAACAACCTATCAGCTCTGAATTACAAACATGAAGCAACTATTAAGTGCTTAAAACAGGTAAAATATTTTCTATGAATGAATGTTTTCTATGAATTATTTTTTTGACTTACATTTTTAAGGGAGGAATTAAGTTTTGTTTGAAAATGGAATACATGTTGATCTGTATTCGGCCACATTAATGATTACTTAAGTAAATTGTGGAGATTTTGTAATTGTGATTGGAAGGAGGGTGGTGGTATCTTGTTTTGTTATATCTTGAAACCAGTTCCAAACCCTAGTGCTAAAAAGCCCATCTTTGCCTTCCCCTAGTTCTGTGTTCCTTTTTGTCATAAAAATGCTTTGTATAGGTTGATATTAGGGTCTGCGTTGGCCAGGGCAATTTTACTCTATCATTCTCACATCTCGAAATATTTGCACATTTGTAGTCAGCAAATATTGTATATCTAAGGTAAAATTATGTGGTTATATTTACTCATTAGTCATTTGTCTTTTACATAGTCAGATGATGATCGCAACAAACCTTTATATTAAGAGTAATTTGTCAAGTTTCATTTGTATGTGTTTCACCTAAATGTGATTTTGTATGAACTGTCACAATGCAAAATGCTTATTAATATCAGACTATGTTATATTAATGAAGTTGCCAGATAAAATGATTGATAAACTGCCACCTTTTCGCAGTTCGTCTAAGTCACCTCTCAGTATTCTGTAGATAAAGAAAACCAAGAAAGATGAGGAAGAACAATTTAAAGATACCTGCTCTTTCTCATTTCTTTTTTTCTTATGGTTTTTGAGCCTGCTACTGAAATGTGAGGAATTTCATATTAAGGATGAACTCAGAGAAAAGTTAAAAGGACTGCATCACATGCCAGACGGTTCTATTAGCATCGTGCCACTGTGCTATGGAGGGGAAGCATAGCTGCTATCAGCATGGAGCATGTCAGTGTCCTACAGGAGAGGGAGGGGATAGGAAACAGCCAGCTATGCAACACAGAGGGAAAACTGGGGGAAAAGAGGCTATATCTGCAAGTGTGCCCCACAATCAATTACCCTTTAGGGAGATCAAAGCCAGCCATATTTAATTGTTACACCTTTCTGTTCTGCATAGAAATGTCTTTTGGAAGGATTATGGCTTATCAAGAGAAGTTGTGTCACGGGAACAAATATTAATGTCATAGTTACATCCCATCTTCTGAACTTAGATCTTAAAGTGAACTTTTGCTCATGCCTTGATATTTTAAAGTATCATTTTTCGTTGCTGGAAGAAAACTTTTTACTTACTGAATTAATGTGTTTGTATTTTGCTGGGAAATATTTTCCCTCTTTTTTATTCAGGACATGGAAAAACTAAACTGTGAATTTGTTAAGTTTAAAGTCATGTCGGTGTGTAAATCTGGAGAAGAGAGAAGTTCAGTTAAAGACCAGAAACAATGGCTGCACAAGCTACATTTGGTAATTCTTCTGAATTGTTAACATGGAAACATGTGTGCTTATTGAACCAGAATACATTGAAGCAAAAAATTATAAAATTTTCAGTAGGCTTATAAGATTAATCATTTTATAACTAGTTCTGCATTTTTGTTTCTTTTCATACTTCAAGCAAGCAGAGATGAATAAAAAACTCTCTGAGGAAGTTTCTGCTGTAAGGGCTGAAAAACAGGTGAGGATGGCTGCTCACCCATTCGCGGGTTTTTGGGGTCATGCCATGCTTACGGTGTCTAAAAGACAACATTGGCTAAATGGTAATTAAGACTGAAAGGTGCAGTTGGACGGTAGTGGGGCGAGTGAGCAGGCAGGGATGTATGTCATTAATAGGAATCCCCCTTGTTGTCAACTGTGCTCAAGGAGGTGATGAAGTTGTTCCAACAAGCCCAGCGGCTGTTGCAGATGCAGACTGAGGCCGTCAGCAGATTGGAGCTAGAGTTGATCAGGCAAAGGGAGGACTATCAGGTCAGGGTCTTCCAAGGGTCGTTTGTCTGTGTCTGTCCCAACTGTAAACGAAATCTGGCCTTTATTGGCAGAAAACTGCTCCTAACGACTCTTGTAAACAGGTCTTTTTAAACAAAGATTGTGCTGAGATTTTTGTGTTTTTCATGGTTGTTCTCAAGATTTTCTCTTCCATTTTGATTAATTTAGAGTTGCTGGGCATTTCAGTCAATACTGTTCATATGATAATCAAAATCTTTTTAGAATTATGTTTCATTATTTGGAGAAAAAATTAACGTGTTCACATTAACATAGCATAACATTGTGTGTAAAATTGATCTGAAACACTGCCACAAAATAATTAATTCTTTTCAGTAATATAAAGGTATTTACACTTGGTCGCTACCCTGAAGTGTGTTTATTTTATTTTGTATTATTCATACTAAAACAATTTAGTATTAAAATGTAGTTTTGTTACTTTGAGTAGCACTAAAGATGGGCATGCAGTAATATAATGTCACATCCTGCCTACTACTACTGCCTGACCTTCCGGTCTCTTCCCTCACATGGCCTGATGGGCCACACCTGATGATTATTGTGTTTAAGCACCTGTTTGTCTCATCCTCACCTGTCTGGTCATTAATATTGCTCCTCCTGTCAGTAAATGTCCGTCCTTGTTCTAGCCCTTAATCTCCAGTCCCTGTTTGTTCAAGTTAAATAAAACCCCTTTTGTTTCGCCAAACGCCAGCCCTTAAGTCATTCCTGCATGTTGTGACATATAATATAAGGTATGTCACAAATTAATGTGCATTTTGTCAATAACTAAGAACTTTCTGTGCCCTGTTGGTGGGCAGGACATGATTATAAATGTGTATTCCCAAAAAACCTTCAAATCAGTACTGTGCAGCACTTTGGATGACAGGTTCTGTGAGTACTTGACAGTGATTATGGCATGAATCTATAAGGAGCAGGATAATGAATGAGGCCACTGCACATAAACAGGGCTATGTGGCTTATATATCATATTATACTGCAAGTTGGGAACTATGAACTGCAACTGAATAATTGCTAATGTTTTTCTCTTCCCATTTACTGCCTCTTCCTCTATGGAACCCATGTCCAGTCCTTCTGCACTTGGTTTATAGCATAGAGTCCCCATATATTAATAATATATATTGAGTTTGTGATGGTGACACAACCTGATTGATTCTGTAGTGCTCTCTTCATGTTTGGAATCATCTGTCCAGGTTAAACAAACATATTAAAAATTCATTATTGTATAAAATTTTTCTTGGGTGATTAATTTTACGACAGACTCTTAAGAGAGAACATGAACTGCTTCAAGCGAGGACTAGAGAGAAGAATGATAGATTTGCAAGCCTGAGGGGAGAATATAAAAGCTCCAAAACAAAGCAGGAAGAGGTATGAAGAATATTCTTAATTTTATTTGATATTCTCAATAAAATGTTTCAACCAATAGACAGATTTCCAAAATGTTTCAGAACTGTTCAGTATACTTTTTATTTAAATACCTATGCCTGTACAAATTGCTAATATATGCTGAAACTTAGGTACCTATACATCACTTGCATATATGTTTGTGTGATGAGCTACAGCATAGACTTGGAGAAGTGAATGAGAGCCATATTATATTTATGGAGAAGCAGATTATATGGAGAAGCAGATATCGCATTGTAGCAAATAGCTCATGGAGCACAGGCTGACAGTGCAGGGGTGTCCTGACTTGCAGCTTGTGGATCACACACAGACAGTGCAGGGGTGTCCTGACTTGCAGCTTGTGGATCACACACAGACAGTGCAGGGGTTTCCTGACTTGCAGCTTGTGGATCACACACAGACAGTGCAGGGGTTTCCTGACTTGCAGCTTGTGGATCACACACAGACAGTGCAGGTGGGCACTTCAGCAAGAACATCATCATAGTAACATAACCACAATTTGTTTGTGTGGAGAATTTCATAGCTTAGAATGTTTTTGAGTCATCTTGAGAACCTGCCATATATATAATCCAAGACTGATCATGAAATTGACACCAAAATATTATTTTTGCTATCCCTTGCAATTATTTAAAGGACAGTATCCAAGACTACATATCTGATCAAAAGGACACATCTGATGACAGCAGCTGTGAAACAAAGAATAAAGAGAGTGAATGTGAGCTTTCGCAAAATGGCAAGGAGCTGGTCCAACAGTACTGTCCAGCAAGCACTAAAGAAGGTCCATCAGATGACAATGGTAAGATTAATGACTAGATCTATAACTGGTAAATCTCAAAAAACACATAGTCCCTAAGTATGACATAATCAGCCAGAAATAGAAATCAAATTGTACTGCAGAGAGCAACAGGTCATTGTGTTCATAAGTATTTGTAGAGCCATCTCTTTGAAAACATTTGTCAAAACCTATACTCTTCCCCCCTTCCGGAATATAATTTGGTCTCTTCTTGAGTATGTGCTGTGTGATTTATCCACACAGATGAAGGCAGGAATCCTGGTCCCACCAGGCTCAAGGAGACAGTGAGCGATAGGCTTCCACAGGCAGACTACCGTGTAGTTATCCAAGCACAGGACACCACTGTTTACACTTCTGGACATGCAGACATCGAGGGGACCGGAAGGGGCTGCTGTGACGCTGACCTTGCCTGCGCAGCTCTCCAGCCGCCAGAATGTCCCGCTCGTTTGGCACGGTTCCCTGCCAAAGGGCCTCTGTCTGCACATACTGCTGATGCATTGGGTGTCGGTGGAGGCAGTACAGGTCAGCAGGCTCCAGACTCTCAAAACCTGCAGCTCTGCATGGGTAAAAGTCATCCAGGGCACAGTATATTTAATGAGAACTGTGTTTCCAGCAGCTTCCCATGTCATGAAGGTGACTCTATTAGCAAGTTGTCTGACTGCAGCACTCCAGTTGCAGGTGATGGAGAACAAATAAAGGAAGGCGGGAGGCAGGAGCAAACCAAGTGCATCCCAGTCAAGAGAGAAGAGCTCACCATTATACACAGTGACATCAACCAGAAAAGAACCTGGGCTCTAGGTTTTGGCACGGTTGAGGCTGCTGGTATTAAGAGATATCCAAATGAAAACCTAGGGGAATCTCTTAACTCCTCAGATTCATGCCGACCTTCAGATTTAAGTGGAGAATATTATCATGGAGCTATTTCAGAAGAAAATAACACCATCTCTGACAACCATGCTACTGTGACTGCAGACTCCCATATCAATCCTGAAGAGTCACAGACAAAGCTATCTGACAAAAGCACACATCCGCAAATGGGGGTGAAACATGCTTATGGCATAACAGAAGCTGGAGGAAGTTCAGACAACTCACTGACTTCAATACCTGAAAAACACACTTCACTAAACATCATGGCAGAAAATAGGCATCAGTATGCATCATTATCAAATGACACAGATATTACTTCAGGTAACACTGAAAGCAAGGATGGCGCACCACTCTGTGAAACTGAAATTACTACTATTTTATCAGAGCCTCTCAAACATGACATAAAGCACAATTCTGCTGAAAGTGACTGTTCATTTTTTCCAAGAAACAAAAGGTTTAGGTCATCATTCGATTTAGGAGTACCAGAGAAATGGAAATGGACGCAACTTGTGAGAAATTCCTTTGGTTCCATGATGCCGCTACAAGGGATTCAGAGCAATCAGGAGATAAATATTTCCTCAGCACCAGTGGCAGCTTCTCTTTCACCAGAAAAAATAGGATTCCTTTTAAGATGCCAGGGTGTTCCTTCACCTCAAGCAATATCTGAGCCTGTACTTCAAGATAAACTGAACAAGAAAGGTAATTACTACTTACATGAAGAGGATACAAATGGAAATGGAAGATAATGTCTTTTGTTACAATGCTTTATCTGTTCTCTGAGAAGGCAAAGTCCAACATCCTTGGTTTAAATGGGGAAATTTAGGTGTTGGTGTATTCAAATCTCAAGTTCTTTGATCATTAAAAGATTGCTTTTAAGCATAACACTTATGAAGCAAGATCAAGTTTTGTAATGAACTTTAAATCCCTCATTGAACTGGGGAGCAAGAACTGGTATTTTGACGAGTGCAGATCAAAGCCCAGCTCTTCACATTTTACTGCTGCATGTACATTATACATTTAGACAAGTATTTCTGTAGGTTTAAGGTAAATTTCATCCTCTCTGGCTTCAGTTTTTAATATGGGGTTAAAATATAGAGAATAGCGAGAACAGGCTTCCTACAGTGCAAAAACAAGCATTAATACCATTCCTGCTTGGCCAGGTAGAATAAGTGCATTTAGCTACCATTTCCTCTTTGTCATTCTGATTCTCCTACAATTAAAAGGACTGCTGACATGTTGAATGCTTCCAGGATCCACCCTCATCACAAGAGAGATATGCAAGGGGACTGGAATGTAATCACACAGGCGTTTTGTGAAATCTCAGCAGAGCATGTAAGTTGACCAAAGGTATTACAGCAGAGGATGAAGTGAATTAATTCCTAAGATATGTGTAGTTCTGAATAGGTCTGGGCCTTTCAGTTTCCAAAAATATTTCTCTGATGCAAGATGGCAGTATTTTAAAGCTGATGAGGAACAGCAGGATAGTCACATAATATAAATCAAATAGATGCAAGCCAGCATTTAGGGACCATGAAGGAAGGGAAGGGCAACTTGTTGATCGTGCTGAAAGCGTAACTGCCAAGCAGAACATTTTAAAGCGTTGATTAAATTCTTCCTCTTAACAGCCGTTGCCAAAAAATGCTTAAAATGAAAACACACTGGGATATCTGTGTTTTTGGAACAATTTAAATAAGCCATGAGTAGCACCAGTTGGAGTAATTTCCCAAAAATACTTGGCATCTTGTACTTTTAAGAGACAGGAAAGACTTACTTTTAAACACTTAAAAAAACTCACTTGGAAGCTTCATAAAGACACCTCTGGATGCATTGCTCTGAGATGAAGCTTGCTGACGATGGATCACCTGTGGGGACTAGCTAGCCTATAACCCTCATTACTGCACTGGGCCCGGACTCTCTCATATCCCACCACACTCTGTCGCTTTGTGCTTTATTAGAGCCAGATGCTTCAAATTGCAAGAGCAATGGGAGAATTTTCTGTGGATGAGAAGACAGCCTTTGGCCATTTCCTCTGACTGTTTTGGCACGGTAGAAGCTGCTGGTATTAAGGTTAAAAGAGAAACTAAACTCTCTCTCACAATGGTCTATTATTGTGATGGATAGATACATTTCTTATAATGTTTTTTGCCTTAAGATAGAACAGCAGAGTTGATGGTTGTGAGGGATGGGTTTTTCTCCAAAGTCACTGTTAAAAGTGCAGTTAAAAATCATTAACGTAGCATCAAATGAATGAGGACTATTTTGATGGCCATGTTCCTTTATCCTAAGAGACCAGAACTCAGATTTCCAGCTCTACACAACCATGTGCATTTCCTGTATACTCATCTGAGGGCATCAGCTCACTGCCGGATAACAGTTTCATCAAGATTTCCAATTCCACTTGGTGTGTCACTAAACCTGGGTTTGCAAACATTTCTGATTGCCTACAAATCAGACATTTGTATCCAATGCTCAGACAAGCACGGCAGAAGACAGACCAGTTTACACTAATTTCTCCCCAAGAAGGAGAAATTAGCCAAGGAGTTTTTAACTCAGCTGTTTAACGTAATGAATAAAGAGAATAAACAATTGTTCTCGAAGCCACTTTTATTGAGTAAATATAAAAATGTAAGATGCATGAACAGAGGAGCTCTATGTGGTGGTGGAGAGGGCCTGCAGGCTGGTCTTGACAGTGGCCAGGTTCTGTTTCCAGGAGCTCAGGGTGTCATAGAGCTGTTGCCACTGCTGCTTCCCAAAGGTGCGGTGTGTGCTGTGGCTGAGGACAAGAGACACAGCACTGGGTTACAGCCCACAGACAAATCAGGACCTGCAGCTACTGCTGACCTGGCTGCTACAAACCCTGACAAGAAATGAGGGCAGTTTCTTCTCTATAATTATCTTTCTAACTAAAGCCAGTTTTTAGTTTTCACAATAGTGCAGAAGAATATAATCTCACTCAAAAGCAGAAAAATAAGCATTTCGAATCAATATCTAAGCATCGCAATACTGTTTCCAGGCAGGGTTTTATACACACAGGGAAAAATGCCCTCCTCACTTCAGACAAAGCAGTGAATGTGTTTGTTAGAAGAAAGAAGAGAATATGACAGCTGCATTGCCAGTGGGTACATTAATATTCCAGACCAGGCTCTGTCATTAAAGGAAGTGTGCTGGAAAGGCTGCTTTCATTATAGCGGCTAATTACATTCAGGCTTACACTTAATAAACTGATAAATTACCAACTACAGACCACTAAAGTAGCACTAACAGCAAAGTAAACTAAATAAAATGAAACAGGAAAAAATGACCTACCTCACCACAACTTTGCGCTGTGTCTGGTCAATTTTGCAATACACCATCTTAGTGCGCACAGCTAAAAATCGAAGAAGGGGGGAGTTAGGGTGGGATATCCTGTGACAATTTAGGCACATCTACAACAATGTAACATTCCCATTAGACAGCCCTCAATACAAAAATGACACCCAATGTTAAAACCATTTCACCTTTGGTCCCCTGCCTTCTTTTGCTATATACAGACACATCCTGTTGTTTTCAGAGACACACACACAGAAAGAGCTTTATCCATTAACTAACTGGCATTACCATCAATGACAAATGCCTCCACATCATCTGCACCAATCTGCAGCTCTTGCTGCATCGTGTCAAACGATATCTCTTTGAATTCGACAGCCATTCCCATAAAAGTAAGCAGCCTCATTTTGGCCATGTTCTGATCATGTGAGAGACCTAGGGGGAAAAAAAAAGTTTTGTGAACTATATGGCCATAGGCAGCTTGAATCGGCATGAAATTCTAAAATACATGCTTAAAAAAAATATATCAAATGTCCGTTTATCAGGAACTGTGGAAATGTAAGTAGGGAAAAAAAAATAAAATCATTCAACGCCCAAAAAAGCAAAGATCCTTGACATGTCATATTTCCATCTGTATTCTGAAACTAACCTGAGCAATAAATACAGGGAAAGCACCTCAGACTAATTTTACAAGTTAATTAGCACTAATTACATATAGAACAATTTGACTGAGCATCAAGAGAAATTTAGTAGGGAAAACAGATCATTTCCAGCAGGATCAGCATGCACACCTATAACTGGGCTTAATTAAAATATACAAGCAACAAGAATCAATTAATGCACATTAACCACAATTAACAAATGCAAATGAGCTGCTCATTGAGTTTATGCCCTCCAAGGAGGCCTTGGAGACCAGAAGACACATGTTAGGGCGATACACTTGACAAAATATATTACTGCACCTGGCTCAAGTTGTCAGGAGCAATAAGTTTAGATTATATGGCTAATCATAAATGAATTTTACCAGTAATTAAAAAAGACCAAAAAAAAGCAAAATTCTGGAGCAAAACATATTGTTACAATGCTTATTTTAACTATCTCTTGTTTAAAAGTCTTACACATAAAGTGTTCTCTGATACAGGAAACATTATTTGCTTTCAAGAAATATTTTGCTCAATGCCAAACAGGAAATTAATCTTTTTTTAATACACAACATAAAGCATATTAATTCAATAACTCCAAGTTATATTATTTTTGTTAGGAAAGGGGGAAGCTTTCTACACCTTAAGCTCATCAAAATCAGAATACACTAACTCATTATTAATATGTCAAAATATTAATGCCCTCATAAAGAACCCTTATGTGTTTCTATGGCTCTTCCAATAGGGTTGACCCTTATCTTCTAGTGGGGGGGGGGGGCAATATGGAGAGCGTAATTTTAACACACACTAGATTATGAAGCATGGCTCCTTTGAAACAGTCAATTACACAGCAGTGAGGGAGGGCCTCAGTGTTAATTACTAGTCCCTTTTTATATAGTGTGTAAATAGAGAGGCTGCTGACATTGACATTCCATCACTGCGACCTGAGTGCCAAAGCAAATTAGCCGGGTCCGCTGAATGCTCCGCTGGTCTGAGCGGACCCCTTCACCACTAGAATAACACTCAAAACCAACTGCTGAGAAGTGAAAAAAGGATCATGCTTCTATACTAGCATCTTTCCAATTTTCATTCTGACAAACCAAAGTCTATTTACCAAATTCAGTATTTTAATTACTAAATCAATGTAGAGGTGTCACATACATTTTTTTGGGTGTTTACAGTCCAATAAAATTAAAGACAATACAGTACCATTGCATAAGAGACACTTACCAAGGGAATCAATGAAATCCTTGTTGTTTTGGTAGAACTTCACATATGCTGCAAGCTTTGCACTCACAAAGATGGTCAAGAGCTACAGAACACAGAAAGTACTAGTGTAACAAAACAAGGATTCTTACTGCTGGTTCATCGCTGAATTAAACAGCAGATGTATTGATTTGTATTAATCTGCTGTAATTTAGTACGGTATACAGTCAAACCTCGGATTGCGAGTAACTTGGTTTGCGTTTTGTAAGACGAGCAAAAATTTGTAATAAATTTTATCTTGATAAACGAGCAAGGTTTTGCAATACGAGTATTACGTATACACTTTGTCTGCCTAGCGTTACGTGATCACAACTGAGCCAATGGTTCTTCTCTCTCTCTCACGCTGCGAGATTGTGGGTAATCATCTCCCATGCTCGGTCTCAGTCGGCATCCCTCACTCATATAGTCAAAATTTAGCAGAAAAGCACCACCCGAATAAGGGTGTAGCAGTGCGAGCGATGAATCTGTTTAACAACAATGCAATGTCACATTTCTGCGAAATCAAAAAGGGGGCGAAAGCAGCTATCATTGGATAGGTTCCTAGTTAAAGTCACACAAAAAAAAGATTTCAGTGAGCCAACAAATAGCAGTGATTCCGTTAGTTACAGTGAAAGTTGTCCTACAAAATAACCCTCCTCTTCTCCTCTCTCTTGTCTCCCCCACACCATCCATGATTCTTTTCAAAGGTAAAGTGCAGGTTAATTTGTTTCATTTTACTTTATATTTTGTATTAATAATTTTTTATGAATATTATTTGGTTGTGGAACGAATCATCTGAGTTTCCATTATTTCTAATGGGAAAATTTGCTTTGATATACAAGTGCTTTGGTTTACGAGCACATTTCCGGAACGAATTATGCTTGCAATCCGAGGTTTTACTGTATACACTTTCTGCATATAAACTCTGTAAAAGGGGTTTAACAGAAATAAACCAATCATCATAAAGAGTGCACTCACATCATGGATCAACTCCCCTTCTAAGAAACGCACTGGTTTCAGGACCAGAAGGTGATCAAACAGGAAAGTGTTTGGGTCTTTCAAAGCTCGGACAATGCACCTAGTGAAAAGCATGAACATGGCATATAGATCATGGCTGTATACACAGAAACACGCAATGTGATGAAGAGACATGATGAATGTTGCATCACCTGTGGGCATCAACGCGTGCCTGGGATGCATTATCCTCGGTGTAACTACCCAGGAGCTCCACCATCACCTTAGCTGCAGCTTCACTGTCAGAACAAATACAAATCACTTATTTCTGTTCCCATGTAGGATTAGTAAAGGGAGAAACCTTTTTTTGCAGTCCACCAAGGCCTCGTAGACCATTCTAAGGAGCGTGTGCTTTTTCTCAGTGTTCAGGTTCCAGTCAGTTATCCACTTCCGAACCTGAAGCAGAGAACACTATAAATGTTATGGGCGAAATTCATTTACATTTATTTACTATAACAAACTGCAAGCAAACAAACAAAAGGATTGAGAAACCATCATGACCTGAGAACCACAAAGAAATGCATCTTTAATTTCAGTGTAACATTTAAGATAGTCTCACTTAAGCTCTTGACTGAATTTGTCAAATTGGATACAACAAATGCGTTGATCAAAGAATCCAAGAACATAATCGGCAATTTAAAAAATCTGGTTTAAAAATTTCTGAAACATTCATAACAGTTGTGTAACTATTTTTAATTGGGAAATTCTGTTAAAATCAGGTTCATTATGGTTAATTAAGAACTGTGGAAAAGACCTTCATTCCATTAGCACCAAGAAACATTACAGTAAAAATGTAGAACTGTTCTGCAATCACTTGGTAAAACTCAAGTCTCAAAACCGCTTGCAATTCTATGGTGAAACAATTCAGAATCAGAAACAAGGTTTATTCACCAAGCACAAACAGGCACAAGAAATTTTATTTGGTACAAAAGGCGCACACACACACACACACACATCATATCACTATGCATAAGATGGTGACAGGGTGCTTGTGATTCAATTTTCTGCACAGTGATACGATTGGTGTGTAGAGTTTGGCAGAAGAGACTGTCAAATAAGTTTGGTGTTGCTGTGAGTTGTGCCAACAGACAAAGCAGTGCTAACAAATCACTTGCTTTTGCTCAATTTCATTTCAGTGAAATACAAAGTATTTCCATACAGCGGAAGACCAATGTCATTTCATGACCAATTCTTGTTGGCTTTTCTCCTTTTCACTCATTTTTGCTTGATGTCTCATAAACATGCCACACTGAGTGATTATGGTTGTCTCAGAGAGCTCACGCAGAGCTCATGCAAAAGCAGCGGCAGTAAATTTTATACTTTGTTTTTAAAAATCATAGCAGATAATGCTGAAAATGATTAAATTGCAAAGCTTGCAAA